AGAAAAAAATTAGAAAAGCAGCAGCATTTGTACAAGCCTCTTCCTCTCTGGGCCTCACTTTCCCCTCCCAACCTTTGTCTCTTGTTTCTTTATTTTACAGAGGCTGCAGGGCAGGGTTTCCCTCCCCCTTGTTTGCCCAGGGCTTTGCACAAAGGCTGACCTGTCAAGCCCCAAGTATCTAGAGGAGACCCCGAGGACTGGCCCCTGCACACACTTCCTTATTGCTAGACCCACGTCTCAGGCTCCTCGCGTCCGCTCCATGACTGCTGGCTTGATCTGCACAGTGGTGAATACGTGCAGGGCCCCTTGTGCCCGTAGGATCCAAACAGCTGCAGCCCAGCTCCATACCCCCTTGCTCTCACAAGCCCTGCTGGTGCTTTCTCCGTTCCTTGTTAAACGGCCCAACACAGCCCAATCTCATCTTCTAAGAAAGAAGAAATGCAGGAGTTTGCAGTGGTAGCACAGATGCTTTGGAAATATTTAAACACACACACACACAATTGAGTGCTCATTTAATCAAGTGGGATTAGGTAAAGAGAGCTGGGCCAAGTCAGAGTCAAATGTTTTCCCTTCCATCTCTTTACGTGTACCCATCCATCAGAGAGAAGAGTAGGGCCCATCCAGTACTGCAGTCTGCATTTACATGGTTGGCATGTGAAAGCGTGAGGTATTTCTGTCCTCAGAGGACAGACAGCCCAGGAAAAAAAACAGGCATCAGAGAAGCCTGGGTTCAGCCCATATACATATCCAGAGACAGACACGGTTTGGAGTGCAAACTGTGCCATGTCCTGGAATAACAGGAATAGTGTCCCCTTTGGCAGCTAAGTAAAAACACCGAGACACTTTGAGGGGAAAAAAGGAAAACCACAGACACAAAGGTAACCCCACTGATGCCAGATTCCACTCCTGGCTCAAGAGTGGTCTGAGGGATGGTTTGCACACTCAGCACAAATCCTTCCAAGAAAGGCATGCTTAAGTCTCAAAATCAATTCAACACAAGTAAGCAAGTTAACCTCAGCTGCACTCAAAGCTGACATTTTTTTAAGTGTAAGAAAAGATGGATCAAGCAAATGTGCAGAATTAGAGGGCCCTGGAATATGAAAATGAAGTGATGTATAATTTGGCAGGATTTTAAACATCTCTTTATAACTTGAGCAGAAAAACGCATTTCTTCACTAAATAAGCAGATCGGGCTTTATTTTGAGCAGTAAAATTGAGATTTGAACTAGAAGTCATGCTATGGCAAAAGAGTCCTCTTAAGCCTTTGTTTTAGACTCCATTTCTACTTTGTGGGAGTGAAAAGAAGAGAAGAGACATCATTGCTTAGGAGGTAAAGCCATGACCTTCCCTCCAAGCTGTAAGCTGCCAGAAAGCACTCTGGAGGCTCTGGAGTTAAGTCACTTTATGTGTTTTTTTCCTCATCCCATTACAGCATCGCTTATTTTCCCCATAACACTCCTATTTTGGAGTTGCTATGACAATGTGCAGCATTATTTACACTGCTCCACACATGCAGAGATCAAGAGACAGACTTCTTTCTTCTCCAGCATTTAATAATCTTAGAAACATTATGCTCATTCTTGCTGGTTACCTGCACTAGTAGGCTAGTTAGGATGCTCCAATCTAATTCTGATGCAATATTAGCCTCCGACACAGATAAAGCTTACAACTTACCTGTTACAGAATGGGAACAAACCTACGAGATGAACCAGTAACAGCTGGTAAAAAGCCAGTGCACTCAAGGCTGGGTTGTACTCTCCTTCAGTGTGTGGAAGTGATTTTGAGGGAGTTTAAAACTTGCAGAGAGAGACTGAGCAAATAGGCAAAATTCAAATAGGGGTTTAAGGGTTGCTCGCTGTCCCATTAACAGGCAAGGTGAGTCAGTCCTATCCTTTGCTTTTAATGCATAACCTTCAGGATACACATTAGTCCTGACTACCCTTGAACATGTTTGTTGCCAAAGCCAGAGAGCTCCTCAGGAATACAGCAGCTTTGCCAAGTCCTCAGAAAGGGCTATAAACACCAAGCACATCTGATCCTTTGAACTAGTACAGAAGGGTTCCCATTTGGACACTAGTAAAACCTGAAATAAATATTGTAATCTTGTGCTGGGGAGGGGAAACAAGGGGCTGTGTATGTGTCATCTAGTTTTTAATCAGAGTGAAGCAAAGAGCCCTCAAATCGTATTTCTGCTGGCACCGTCCAATTATCAAGTATCTGCTGTTCCCCATCATGTGCCTAAGAAACTGAAGCACTAAGGCCAGCTCCCCTGAGATGTCAGTCACCCTGACTGCAACAGGTACACAGGCACTGTCAGCTTATCAGCTGAAAATTTAACAGTTCCCCATCAATCTTTCCCTTCAATTCTTCATTTTCCAGTGAGCTTTCTTTTGCCCTTATTTACACAAAGCATCACTGCTGCAAAGCTACAAACATACAGTAATATCCATAGTCTTAACATCTGACCCACAGCAATGTGCCTGCAATCATCTTAATGCTTATCTGATAAACTAATGCTTTATGGAAGCAATTATGTTCCCTCTGTATTGCCTTATGTTAACATACTCTGAAGGGCTAGAGCACTCCATCCCCCACTTCCTTCAAAAAGTCATTCAAAATATGAAAAGAAACGGGATATTAGCTGGCTCAGCAGGAGGAACCACTTGACATTCCTCAGTCAGAGGAGGCAGAAGGGGAGGTTATTGTAAATTGGAGTGGACAATTGGAGTAGCTTCTCATCACGTACAGTCTGTTGTCTCCATGCAATAACCTGCATTTAAAACATTCTAGCCCCAGGATACCCACTGTTCATAAATCAGCGATATGGTTGTGGGGACAACCTACAGGGCTAGGCTTTCTCAAAGATTTATAACCTCCCTCTCCCCACTATCAAACAGGCAGCAAGAAGGCACGGCTAAAGTAAGTACAATACTGTGTTGTTTCCTTCTGTGCTGGAAAACCTGGTGAACCCCACACCAGCATACGTTCTTCCATGTCCTGACTTCAGGGGAAGCGTACAAAACTCCCATTGATCAGCCAGCAGAGTTGTTAGGTCAAAGCTAATGCTGGTCTTGTTTGTGCCAATCTTCTCTACTCTGCTGGTTTTATTTTGTTTATCTCCTGCACCTGGGTTAATTGCAGCAATTGAGTGATTTGGGTGGTGCAACGGGATGTAAATTAAGTTGGAAAAAAGGAAGGGGAAAGACCTGGGTGGGCTGCAGAGGCATTAGGAAAAGCAAGACCAGCTGCATCCTGCAGAAACCCAGGTCAGTTGAAAAGTATAATATGCACTTTAAAAAGTGGTGCAAATTCAATAGCAGGGTTCAGATTGTTAGTGTTTTTGCTGAGTGCTGCAGGGAGTCCCAGCAGGTCCGTCTGCATCCTGGCCATGCGGCGCACACCCGTGCTCTGGGCACTGGTGGGCTGGAGTTTGTCCTGTCCACCCTGCTGGTTCCTCTTGCAGCACAAGCCTCAGGTCACTCTGTATTCTGAGATTGGGAATGATAAAATCAGCTGACAAAGCTCCAACTTAGACATTTATTATTAAGCACAAGCAATGTGAACAGCTGCCCAGCTTTCTTGTCAGAATTAATACACAAGCACTCCCTCAATGCTGCTCAGACCAGCAAGAGGTCTGCTCTGAAAGTTCATCTAATGGAGGCAGGGCCTTTTACTGTCTTCATTCTTCTTTGAGAGGCTCTAGGTACAGGAAGCAATAACTGGGTTAAGCACACGGATGGGTCTAGATTGCACCATTGAGGCCAATGGCCTTTATTTCTAGGTCTAAGAAACAAAAGTCAGCTTTCCCTGTTACCTAAGCCCAGTTTTCCCCTCCTCCTGCAAACCTGGCAACCTGGTCTAGTAGGAGGTGTCCTTGCCCATAGCAGAGGGGTTGGACTAGATAATCTTTAAGGACCCTTCCAACCTAAACCATTCTATGATTCTACAAATCATCTGTTTTTCTCCCAGCATAAATGAGTCTCAGCACAGAAGAAATTTAGCTCTGCTGGTTGAGAAATATTTTCAAAGATGTAAGATTTTTTTATGCCTGTCACTCCCAAGAGAGTCTCCACTTGGTGAAAAGAGGTTACGAAGTAAAATAGGACCTAAAAGTGTCTTTCACTACCAAAGATGTTAGCACCTTTCAGTGACAAACCTGCTGTTTGAGCTTTTCTCAATAAAAGCCAGAGACCATTTCTTGCTCCTTTGGGATGATCTCGCACAATATTCTGTGCGGGTCTCCTTTTACAATGAAAAGCCACCAACCGCCAGTCCACACTCACATCAGAGCTCTACTTATTCCTACCAAAACTACCAAGTAAGCAACATTATTGCTTCTGGAAACAAAGTTGGCCTTAGCTGACATCTTCCATGTCACATAATCCTTTAGCAATTGCTTGGAATGGAGCAGTTGCTGCCATAGAAATAAATCCGATTATTTTCCTCACTTCACATCTGAAATAATGCCCACAGCTCTACTGTAGCATTGGCACCAATACAGCCCTTATCCTACAATTAGCTTTGAGCAACTGCTTCAGAAAGGCAACACACACTTTAGAAACATCAACTGGCTCTCATCCCAAATATGGAAAGACCTAAAAGAGACCTTTCCCGATCATAAGGGCTTTGAAGGAGAGACATCTTTCTATTAAATCATCATCTCCATTAGCATAGCTGAATAAAACTCACAACCCTATCAGGGTTGCAGCTTCAAGTATATATTAAGAATGAAGTCAAAAAACTTTTAACTTTCAAGCTTTCGTTGATAAAACTGCATTTTAAGATTCCTATTTTTAAAACAATCAGAAAGAGAAACTTTTGCTAATGGTTTTTAAAATGCACTGTAGTTGAAATCTCTTAATAACTATAATGGCTCACATTTCCAGGCTTGCTTTTTTGAGAAATTCACACACATAGAGCCCTGGAATTATTGTGTCCTAACTCTTGCTTTCATGTCAGGTTAACATAGTCTCCTCTTTTCAATTAGCACTTACAATAAGATGTGGACAGATGCCCAGAAAGACCTTGACATCCAGCTCCAGAGAGAAAAAGAAGAGTTCCTTCAGCCAGAGAAGGACCCTGTGAGAGTATTCAAGATGTTAGTCACTTCCTACATCAAATACATACAAATCTTCCGTAACTTGGAGGCAGCCCATGACCAACTCATTCACCGGCAGAAACGGACAGCGATTCGGCAAGTGCTAGATGGTGTGATTGGCCGGATCTTGGAGATTAAAAAAGAAATGGTGCAGCTAGAGAACTCGGAGTTTCACTACATTCATGACATCCTGGAAGATCTAAAGCTTCTCCCTGTAAGTCTACCTCTATTATAACCAAATTCATGGGAATTTTGTGTATCCTGTATTTTAAGGACAGTCGTATTTACTTGCAGCCTGTGAAGTTCCACCAAGTGATTTAGCTTCTCCATAGCAGCACAGGCTCTGTAGAATTTTCACTTGCACATGTCTAATGTGAAGTCATATTAGCTTAGATAACTTTGCTATTAATGACAGCAGCTTGACTCTGCCTGATTTTAGTGTAGGATTAGATAGACCATAGGCAACTAATAACCAAGGTATGGTCCACTTCAGTCTGCCCTTTGCATCACTGTCAATCAGCCTCTTTCAGAGGTTATAGGGAATGCTAAAAGTTGCATTGTCTAGCCTGCTAGTTCAGAATACAGCTAACTACTAAAATGAGAAATCTGAGACATCTCACATTGTAAAGGAGGCAGAAGCTGGGAGCAAGTTCAACGTCAGGGGTTCAGGACTGCCTGATGTAAAAGCAGCCCCCTGACAGACAGAGCCCACTAAACCAGGTGGATATAACAATAAGGCAGCCTTGAAGCTGTGCTCTGAAAGCGGTATGAAAAATTAGCTGCAAAAAGGTGGTTACTTCTCTCGCAGACAGCTCCACCTATTGTAAACTTTAGGTACCGCTGCTTTTCTAAAGAAAAATAACATAAATAAATAAAAAAAAAGAGTTGTAGCTTAACTTACTGCAGTTTTCAGGATCCAAATTATAACATGAGATAAATTACTTAATATAATTAGAGCATTATTTTGAGATTTTTCTAATGTGTTTGTTTGCAATTGCATGACTATTTCACTTTGCAAGTTTAAGATAGTAACTGCTCTGAATTTTCACCAGCTCTTTTACCTTCTATGTTACTTACGACAGAGAACTTTTTTAAACTACGAGAGTATACTGAAACAGTATAACCACCTATCACATTTTGAAATTATGAAGCACTGTTGTTTTCATAACTTCTCAGTAAACCTACCTGCAACTAAATGTTGGCAAGTCTGAAAAGTTATGCTTGACATCTACTTAAAAAAACAAGCATAAATTCAAATTCCTGTACCACCCCTAATTTTAGGAGAGCATGACATACCGACCCACTGCAAAAAAAAAAATTAAAAGTGCACTGAAAATATTTCAGGCTCTTTCAAAGAAAACTTTATTTTCCATAGCAGATAGGAATACAGATTTATGGGGTTTTTATAGAATAATCACATATTCTTGGTTCCAAAACAGAATTATTGGCCAATTCTTGAAAAATAGCTGCTGTTTCTTAAAGAATCTGCCCACAAAGGATATCTCTATTTCTTCCTTTTACTGTATTATCATGGGCTAAAATCCAGCATGTTTCTACAATTCTACTCTGTAGGCAGAGCAATCAGAGTAATCTCATTTTATATCTCATGCAACGATATTTTGTACTTTTTACTACGTCATTGTAAGGCTAAGCGTCATCTTTCTTTAGTTCTGTGCCTCATGTTTTTGTATGGTTGCCTTCCAACACTCAGTCACTCCATTTCCTGGGGCAGTTGTAAAGGTATTTAGATACACAAATCCCATGCAGAGCAAGGAATGACTAAAAAGCTGCAAATTTGGCTTGAGGATAAACATCACTAGCCTAGCTTTTTAGTGGTGGGCTCCCAAAAAGCAGTAATGCAGAAAAGCAGGCTGCCTATCTCCCCACCCCTTCCAGCCCCAGTATTATGGCTTTGAGCTCATCTTTACAGTCAGTAGAAGTCACAGTCCAGAATCACTTGTAATTAAAGCTCAGGTTAGATATCAGAGATACTTATTACCCCAACACTGACTCATACTGCTACCTGGCAGTATTGAAGCCCTCTCATCCTATGCAAGGTTATACAGACAAAGTGCTTGATTTCTCATACCTAAAGACAGCCAGATTTGTAATCCATCCTAGAGCAATTTTCACTCCTAAAGCACAATGTATTATCATTTCCATCAACAGGCAAGGATGCAAACAAGGAGCTTAAGACAAACAGAAACTTTAGCAGACCAGACCTCTGCATTGATAAAATCAACAGCGATAAACACAGTCCTAGTTGGAAGCTTTCTTATGCTGCCATAATAGGGATGTCCTGGTCTGCACAGTGAGGGAATTAGCAATGAAATCTTTAAGTTGGCAGCTCACAGTGGCTATTTGCATTGGGCACAGCCTTCCCTGCAAATTGTTGCTCTAGAAATTGGAAGGTCTTAGAGCTCAGAAACAGCACGTTTGCCATGCCCCTATATCAAGGCAGGAGCAGTGCTTGTTCTTTACAGCCAGTGCTTTTATCTTCTGTATCTGTCCACACTAGAGGTGGCATTGGGGCAGCAAAGGATAGAGTCGGAGATCTCCACGACCAGGTCAAAGCCACTAGTTTCTATAGCAGACAGAACAGAGCACTGATAGCACAGCATAAAGCCTTGTACCCATCTTAGGCTCCTTGGGCAAAAGGACCAAGTGCCCCCATATACCTGGGAACAAATGTTACTTGACCTCATATGTAGCACAACAGGGTAACTGTACTACTCGTCTTCCCCATCCCTCGGGGTGAATCATTTGCTCAATGAGATATTCTAGATGTTCCTGAATCAGTATATAGGGAACATAGTACCAGTACTAAAGACATATTCCCCCTGCCTCACCAAAGAAATATACTTGCCAGTAGTTATTCTTGAAGAATTGTCTGCAGTCTTAAATATAATACAAAGAACAGGTTATGCCAATCCATACATCTTAACTTTTGCGGTATTTTTTTGTCTGCCTAGCTGTCTGTTTTTCATTTCTCAATAAGAGTAGAATTCTACAAGAGAAGAATCGGTAGAAAACCAAATAAGTTACATCTTTTTAATGATGGAAATGAGTAAAGCCAGCCACTTCTAATCACACCTGATTTTGAGAGGTAACTGCAGTGTCACAGTCACAGACAGTGGCAGTTTGTCTATAGGTAGAAATACCTGTAGGCAAACAGAATTGTGCTTTGGTTCCTTGTAATGGTTCAAAAGAAATGCTAGAGAACATCTATTTTTCACATTGATTACAAAATAGAAGTGGGATGATCATGCAACCAGAGATATTCAATTCAGTGGAAAACTTGTTTAAATTTCTGGCAAGCCTGCCAACTATTTTAACAGTTTGATAATGTAATTGAGCCATTATAAAAATAAAGATTTCTGGGGTGCTGTGGTTCAGAAACTGAGTTGATTTATTTGTTGTTGTTGAATCAGGCCTTAAGTAATTGCAAAGTAACAGCTCAGCAGCTGTTACAGAGGTCAAATTCCCCAACACTCCAAAATATTCAACAATCTCTGTCCAATTTAATTGCTTTGTAAAGTTGTTCAATTAATAAGTAACATGATTTTAATGCAGTTCTAAATGCAGGATTATTTCTTCTTCTAGCAAGACATAGAAGTACCTATCCCAAAGTATTTCATTAAAGAAAGGCTGGAAGTCCTGCAGCAGAGGGAGAAAATCCTTTGTCAGATTTTGGTTGATAGTGAATTGCAAACACAGGTAGGTGTACCGCATACCTACATAATAAAATGCTTAACTTTTTCAGTTTATAGCCACGTGCATCTGAACATGAATGAAAAGTATTTTTATAGTAGTTAGGAAGCAAAAGTCTGTTTATAGATAAGGCACAAATAAAAAGTAACATTAAATTTTCCTAACAATATCCAGTCATCTTTAGTTTGGTTGAGACTGAAATGAATTGGCTCTGCTTTATGTGTTTGAGTGTCAGAGAAAGGGCAGCACTTTGGCCAAGTTTAGTAGGTGCTTTATGTGTCTAGCTACCTCTCATCACGTAATTAGTCCTACCGAAATCAAGTTAGGCTTAAGTTTTACTGAACCAAGATTCCTGACTAGAAGGGGCAAAACTCAGGGTTAAGGTCAGCACAACTGTTAGCATTCAGTTGTTTATAGCTTCTGAACAATGACTGCAGTCTCTTCTGTACAGCTATAGAACTGCAGCTGCTAGGAGGAGTAAAAAATTGAGTTCTGGCAGAGCAAAAGTCATTACAGACTTTTTACATGAGTGCTCCAGTGAAGACTGTTCTGGATTTGATATACTTTTGACCTTTTGGAAGTGGCACATTGCCTACAAGCAGTGATTGCTAACCCCTTGAAATAAACAACTGTGCCTACAATGTCTGGACAACTTAGACTCATAAATGTTATAGCCATGAGAGACAGTCCTGATGAGACAGCTTAGTCAAACTGCTGCACTGCCCCAACTGGTGAATTCTCCACCAGTAATTGTGCTGTTGGGGGAAGTCTGCGTATTGATCCCAGAAAGCAATGGAGGGAAAGAAACAGCACCAGACAGAGGCAGTCTGCAGAGACAGCATGCAGGCTCTCCACTAGATTACTTTAATGGGCAGCTGCAGTCCTCTTGGCCTGCACAGTAAATCTCTGGGTAAATTCTCTGGTCTCCCCCAGAAGTCTTATGTTGGTCTGTGGAGATCCTCTGTTTCAGCACATTAGATATTGAAGACTTTTTGTTTCCCACAGTTCTGCTCTCACCTTTTTTTCAGTGTGGCTTCTGTTACAGATAAGACTGTCTGGTATGCATCCAGCTCACCTGGGAGCATGAGGCTCTTGCATTTCGGCCTCTAGCGGGGCCCCAAGTCTGCCTTCCCAGGATGCCACAAGATAGGCACAGGATTCAATAAACATTAATAGCAATCTCACACAGTATGAGTCCAGTGTCCTGTGCTGCACTTCCAGTTCAGTCACTGCTGGGATTGCTAGAGGGTTGTCAGTACTTCTGCACACATCGTAGCAAGCCACATACACTCAGGTAATCCTAACTGCTGCGTAACCGACCACTGAATTTTTCAGTGCCCATGGCAGTGCTGTTACAAGCAGTCTAACATAAATCAGAACAGTGGAGTTCATCAGAGGAGACTGCTTTGGAGATCATTTGTGCTCTGTAATTCTGTTACAGAAAGATGTGCTGAAAACATTGTATAGTGATCTCCACACAGTCTGTATAGAAGCATCAAATGTGAACTGTCTCCAATAGGGGGATTAACATCAAGAAAGGACAATAATTCTGTTTTTCCATGGGGAGCATGAGGAGTTAACAAGAGTTCTCAGGAGTGAGACAGGGGAATCCCTCTCTCCAGCTGCACTGTTCTGATACGTTTTTTCCCAAGCCTCTTTTTGGGGAAAAACAAAAACCCCTATTTGGGCTGGACTGACCAGGCCTAGGCTGGCTTAGAACAGCTTTCCTTCCATTCAGCATGGTCTCAGCAGCACATCCAGAAACCAACTCAGAAAAGTAAAACGAAGATATTCTATAGCCTAAGAAATTGTCCTTTTAATAGGAAAAAGCACTATGGTTTTTACATCTTTTTTTCCTCGAATGGATAAAGTTCA